TAAAAGAGGAAGCATAGAAACGAATAACTTGATGGTGAACTATTTTCAACTCTTTATTTAGGTCTGAGAATTTGCAAACCCTAAGAACAAATAAAGGGAAGCCAGTCTGAAAGCAGAGAATCACCGCTGCTCGCCCCATTGTTGGGATAATCTGAGCACTGATGATACTCAGAGTGTACGGCTGTGCGTCGTGCAGATGGATTAGGAAATGACTCCGAGAGGAAAGGCATCTCCTCAGGGAGGCACAGCGATTCATTTTGACTAGCAAGCCCGTTGTAGAGACACCAGGTGATTAAGACGGAACCAACGAGATTTAGTTGAAGCCTTTTTGCAGAGAAAGGAGGCGAGAAAAGAGAAACACACAATCACATTAAGGCGTACAATCACACCGTGCAACAACAGCACACAAAGGGATGAATCCCTACTGCAGCACACAAAGTGGTGCAACAATGGCTGCGTGCACACAAACAGACTGTTGTAATGAATGTACACATCTGGATCGTGTCACGTTCAGGTTCCATCACTGCAGAGGAATACGAGCTGCTCTCCTGAACTAGTCATGGTTCTGTCTCACAAAAAACAACGGGTTATATTTACTCTGCACTTATTAAGATAATAACACAAGCAAATTAGTGATACACATTTAATCTAACAAAGTTAAGTCAGGTCCTCTGGACGGTTTCTTTTTGTTGAAACGTTTCGTCTTTTATCCAAAGGACTTCATCAGTCCCAGGAGCCACAACAAACTCAGTCTTATAAATAGCACCTTCACACAGTGGGTCTACCAATATAAGATTTATAAGAATGACATGCTAATAACATGCTCATGCTATGCTGATAAGATTTTTAAATTTTTTTTGAAAAACATCTTTGCTTTTAGAGAGATACGTATGTACGTATTGCACAGTTGGGTCATTCCTACTAGTCGGTGCCTTTTGAGTCCCCATGCCATAATGTGGTATATTTTGTTTAAAGGTGGGCTGATATTTATTTTATTAATCCCATCTTATATGTTTGACTCCCCTCTATCATAAAACGCAACCATATGTACACAAGATGGATTTATTTAAAACAATTAAATTTAATTTTAAATGCAACTTGGGTTTACTGTCATGTCCCCTTTCATGCCTCCTGAAATTAAGTGACAATTCTAAGTAATCTATCCATCAATTTTCTTCCGCTTATCCGGGGTCGGGTCGCGGGGGTAGCAGCCTAAGTAGGGAGGCCCAGACTTCCCTCTCCCCAGCCACTTGGGCCAGCTCCTTCGGGGGAATCCCAAAGCATTCCCAGGCCAGCTGAGAAACATAGTCCCTCCAGCGTGTCCTGGGTCTTCCTCTGAGTCTCCTCCCGGTGGGACGTGTCCGGAACACCTCACCAGGGAGGCGTCCAGGAGGCATCCTAACCAGATGCCCGAGCCACCTCAACTGGCTCCTCTCGATGTGGAGAAGCAGCGGCTCTACTCTGAGTCCCTCCTGGATGATCGAGCTTCTCACCCTATCTCTAAGGGAGAGCCCAGACACCCTGCGGAGAAAACTCATTTTGGCCGCTTGTATCCGAGATCTCGTTCTTTCGGTCACAACCCAAAGCTCATGACCATAGATGAGGGTAGGAACGTAGATCGATCGGTAAATTGAGAGCTTCGCCTTTTGACTCAGCTCTCTCTTCACCACGACAGACCTGTACAGCGCCTGCTTCACTGCAGACGCTGCACCTATCCGCCTATCGATCTCTCGCTCCATTGTCCCCCCCATTCGTGAACAAGACCCCGAGATACTTGAACTCCTCCACTTGGGGCAGGACCTCCTCTCTGACCCAGAGAGGGCACTCTACCTTTTCCGGCTCAAGACCATGGCCTCGGATTTGGAGGAACTGATCCTCATCCTGGCCGCGTCAAACTCGGCTGCGAACCGCTCCAGCAAAAGCTGTAGATCACGACCTGATGAAGCCAACAGGACCACATCGTCTGCAAAAAACAGAGATACGATCCTAAGGCCACCAAAACGGATCCCCTCAACACCTTGGCTGCGCCTAGAAGTTCTGTCCTTAAAAGTTATGAACAGAATCAGTGACAACGGGCAACCTTGGCAGAGTCCAACTCTCACTGGGAACAAGCCCGATTTACTGCCGTCAATGTGGACCAGGCTCTGACACCGGTCATACAGGGACCTAACAGCCCGTATCTGGTACCCCACACTCCCAGAGTCGTAATCTAAGTAATAAAAAATAAAAAAGTCATTTTTTAAATACTAACTCTAAATTGTCCCTAGGTGTGCGTGAGAGAGTGAATGGTTGTTTGTCTCGTTTGTCTCTATGTGGCCCTGTGATGGACTTGCGACCCGTCCAGGGTGTACCCCGCCCCTCGCACAGTGATTGCTGGACATGGGCACCAGCGACCCCCGTGACCCAAAATGGAATAAGCGGGTAAAGAAAATGGATGGATGGATGGATTTTTTAAATACATTTTTAGTAGTACTATTTATAGTCATTCTCATCCAATGACTTTTTAGGAGATCCAAAAAAAATGCATAAATTATTAAAAATAAATAGAGTCCCTGAGTCAACTGTCCACCCTGTTACTCTAAAATACCTGTCACCCCACGGTTTGACCTAATGTAATGTTTTTTCAAATGTTGCTCATTTACACCTCAGGGTCACCGTAGATACACCAGGTGAAACGATCAGTGTTGGGTGTCAAAGGGCATATTTTAGAGTGTTTGCTAAGTTCTAGCTGCTTCTCTGCCTCCAGCTACCTTCTTAAGAACTTCTTTTGTCTCCAGTAACTCGGCAGCAATGAACCATAAGGTACATATCCTAACAAAAGTGTAAATATCTAATAGTTTTGATCACAACAGTAGTTTGGCGTTAAAGGTTTGAATCTTGCAGGATCTGATGATTAATTTTGCAGAAATGATCAGTTTTAAGAAGACGAGAAGAGCATATGATAAACGTAACTGCTGTGTGAATATTCCGTTTGTGGAATCAGGTGGGAGGAAAACGCATTGTGGGAACAGGCTGTAAATTGATCAAAACTCTGGTGGAAGTGGATTTAACAATATCTTTTGGTGCAGGATTTTACACCACAAAAGCAAATCCAAACCGGTGATAAGAAAAGACTGATTGTATTAAAACGGTTGTGCAACCAGCATGCATTTTACTCTGCGTAGCGGTGATGATGACACTGGGCTGTAAATATCACAAAGCTGATTGACTGTTTCCCACTCGGCTCTGTGTTCAAGACAAAGAGGCTGATTTTGATTCCTTTTGTTTCTTTGTTGAGTAACGTGATATAAAATGTGGGTTTGTGGAGGTTATTTCTGCAAAGCCAGGCTGAGACTCTGATATATCTGGTTTCAAAGAACCGGAGGTGATCGGTAAATACTGCTGCATCAGCAGCCAGTGAGAGGAAGAGGAATTTATCGGACGTTCACGTGTTTCAAAGTGACACGGTGCAGCTGACGTCTGTTCAGTCGAATAAAAAGTGTGTTTATTCAATAAAACTGAAAATAATTGTGATGTTTGGGGCATGTTCTGGTTATTGTCACAGTTTCTCCTCTCCCTCTGTCAGAAGGATCTTTCTTGAAGGTGATGCCCGTGTGTTTATTTGTATCAAGGATGTAACTTGGCTCTGTGAAGCAGCTTATAAATATTTTCTTCTGCCTGGTTCTTTTGGGTTTCAGTGCCAGTTGTAACAAGAGTGCCATACTTTCCGCCATACATGTCGCACCGCCGTATAAGTCGCATTTGTCCAAATATGTCTAATAAAGTGAAAAAAACACATAAATGCATTGTTTCACCGTATATGTCGCATCTATTATGCATCACTGCTGACCACCCTGAAACGTGGGCCGGTGTTGTGGCAAAAATCAATTGGCTGCCAAATGGCGGCTGTGAGAGCGTGCACAGGAAGACTTTAACAAGATTAACACTTAAAAATAATTATTTTTTTTCTCAAAATTATAGTAAAGGTGTGTATCAGTTTAACTTTTCCTTAATAAACGCACAATATTGGTTAAATCAGCTGCATTTCAAAAATCGATTTGCAGCTGCAGGAGTGCTGCGCTGTGCATTTCTTCAAAATTTACCAAGATAACCACCTAAAAACAAATATTTGTTTGCTCGACATTATAGCAAAGGTGTGTCTCGGTTGAACTTTTACTTAATAAACGCACTTTAACGGTCAAATCAGCTGCATTTCGCCTGGGCGGCGCAGCGAAATGCAGCTGATTTGACGTTTGCTCCAGGAGTTCTGGAGCGAGATGAAGGTGACTTTGTATGGCAGGATGAGTGTCTCATTAATAGCCACTCTTATGTATTAACGAGACACTTGGCTTGCCATATCAGTTGAGGGCCCTCTAGTGGCTGAAAATGGTAGTGTTCAATATTTTCCATGTCAGAATGAATGAAATTGTCAGATCTCAGCCAAAATTTGGGTTATAAATATGGAGTAAAAACATAAATGAGTCGCTTTGCTGTATAAGTTGCAGGGCATGCAAATTTGTGCAAAAAGGTGCGACTTATGTGGTGAAAAGTACGGTAATAAAGTTGTAATATCGATGCATGTTAGAGATTAACCTCGCTGTTGAACAGTTCTCTCAGCCACAGCGCTCTCAACACTTCTCATGTTTGATTTGCATGAGAAAACCTGAGCTTTAACGTTCCCCTCTCAGGTTTTGCCTGCAGAGCTGCATCTTATTGCCCTCACTGTGACCTACAGCAGCGAACAGCAGCGATCCGCCCACAGAACAATTGTTCTGTTGGGCCACAAGTCAAGATTTTCTCTGGAGATGCAGCCTCTCAACTAAATCGGACTTTTACATGGAAACTGGATTTTCTACGTATTTACTCTCAACATTGTGCTGGAATTTGATGTTTAAATTTTCAATTTGAACAAAATTTTTACAGACAATAGAACGAGAAAGACTCATCCAAGAGGAAAAGGTTTAAATGGAACTAAAACTTTCTTTAAAAACAGTCCAGTACACGCTGTCGGTCTGTCTTACCTTGACGTTTGGCTTCCTTGTTGAGAATCCTCTGTACCATCCTGGAAGAAGATAAATTAATCAGTGATCCTTACAGATAACCAGCACAGATCCACTAAAAATAAATGTTGCATTGGTAAATAAAAATGCAAAAGTAATTGTCATTAAATAAATGTATTCATTTAAAAAACAAAGAAAATAAAAACTGAACGTGAAAACATCTTGCAGGTCCACAAACATCCACACATGATCATCATAAGTTTAGTTTTGAACCCAACAATAGTAATAGAGACATTAAAATACATTAAATGCAAATGATTCAGACATTAATATTTTTTTACCTTCCTAGATTACAAATAGAAGAAAGGAATTTATCCATGAAATGACTTAAGTTTGACTCTTACAGAGGTTTTAACCAATTTACCATCTGAAATTTTTCATATTTATTACAAACTTTTAAACACTACAATATTATAACAATTATGTATTCCTTAAACATGTATTTTGACATAACTTAATCTGAAAATAAACGAGTAGCACAGTATTTAAAGTCAAGTTACGCACTCAAAAGAGTAGCACGTTATGCTCAAAGTATGTATTTTATGTAAGTTCTGGAGATATTTATGTAAACTTTATTTAATTGAGAAAGCAAAACATAAATTAGTTTATATTTAATGTTGCTGCTTAAAGAAAGCTCAATCTGTAATAAATCAGCTTGATGGTGCAGTGACAAAACAATAACAAGAGGGGTCCCTGTTTTGTGAGTGTGTCTGTGTGTGTGCGTGTGTGTGGGTGTGCATGTTGGGGGGGGGGGGGACTTGATGGATGAGTAGTTGATGAGAGTGAACACTGAATGTTATGAGCTCATGACCGTGGATGTCAGAGTCAGACAGAGAGCCTGACGGACACGAAGCCTGAAGCTGGAGACGGATTCAGTCCATCAGACTGTGTGGGTGGATCAGTGCATGTTGTTTTCTTCCTGTTCTTACAAGGACCATCATGCAAACTTATTTTTCCAACTTGCAAAACATCTACATGGACATCATTGAGAAAAAGAAGTTCAGTTTCTCGACTCATCGGCGGCTCCCTTCGTCAGGGGTCACCACAGAGAACTAACTCACACCAAGACTTGGTGATTGTTTTCACACCGGATGTCCTTCCTGACCAACCACAGACCACCGAGCTACCACGGCCTTCTGTGTGGAGCAGAGAGCTGCCATCTAGGGTGCCTGGGGGAGCCGATGTGGGGATTAAGGGCCTTGCTCAAGGGCGCAGAGTGGGGCAAATGATGGAGGAGGCAGGTGTGGGTGTTTCACCTTTCCCAAATACATTTTTTATGATGTCTTAGTCCAGGGGGTCGAACCTGCAACCGTCCACTCACAGGCTCGCCTTAACCTCTGCGTCATGTTTTTTTTTAAACTAAAAATAAATGCATAAGCAAAAAATGAATCAATATAAAGATTATTATTATTATTTAAATCTGGGAACATAGATTAGGCCATTTTTATTTTTAAATGATTATGTGTTGAATGTTTTGTCACCATCAAAGGCTTTAAACTGTTGGTTGTGACAAACATTGGCTAATGCCTGAAACATCCTGTGATTCATTCATTCATCCTTTTTATAGTGAAATAAAATATTTGTTGTATGCAGCGTGTGCATGCCTATTACTGTATAGACATCTACCACAAAATCATTTTGTCACTGAAGAAAATTTAAGCATGCTAATTTTCTGGGTCAGGTTCTTGCATTGGATGGACCTTCTTCTTCTGCAACTGACATTCTTTCCTCACAGATGGACACTCATCCAATGCCTCAGCAGAGCAGAAAGCTGTCCAAAGTGGACTGAACCACTTGACAGCTGAAAATAACTCATATCCAGGAGCTAAGAATTTTGAGAAAACGCTGCCAGACAGACATCCCCACAGAAACAGGCACATAATTAGTCTCAATTAAAGAAGAAATGGAAAGTGTTGTGTGTGCAGTTTGTGGAAATTTAAGGGTCGAATCATTTACTGACAGTCATTTACAATGAATTTTACTTTAAATAAATTAGTTATATAATGTATATAACTTTTAAAAGGCTGTAAGAGTTGACAAACCTCTGTGACAACAAAACATAAGAATCATGACGACGTTTACCAAGATATCAAAGGTCAAGGAAAGATTGGGACTAGATGTCCAAAATGATTTTTTTTTTTTTTTTTGGGGGGGGGGGGTAAGAGCATTAAAACTTTTCAGAAAAGAATATTTAAAGTTAACAAGCTTAAAAAAAAAAAGATTACCAGTAGAACACAAAGACTTCTGGGAATGCTTCAGTGGTGCCATTAATCTGAGCATCTGACAGGATACTTCATATCAACATTCATTTGATCCTGCAAAAACCATGACATTAACTCCTCTGTGGCTCTTCTTAATCTGATCTGAATATGGAGATGAAGGTTTAATTGGCTGGGTAATTAATAACCAATCAAGATGCATTTATCACCAGCATAAAGACGGCTGTGTTTGCTCCCAGGCCTCTCGTCTATATGATAATCAGACTGAAGATGCTCTGTCAGGGCCTGATGGTAAAGGTTGACATGACTGGTGGTGTGTGCCTTTACAATTGAATTAATTTGTTAGAAATAGGAAATTATAAACAACAACATTGAATGATGAAAGAAAAACATAAAACTTCCAGCCAGCAACTTAATTTATTTGTGCAATTCTATATTTGTGAATGAAACAGAACAGATGTTTGTGTGCTGCTTTGTGCACAGTAGTCCCTCGTTTTTCATGGGGGATCCGTACACTGGAGCCCCGCTAAAAGTGAAAAGGCATGCAGTAGGGATAGTACTAGAAATAGTAATTAGTATATATATATATATATACACATATAAAACATATATATATATATATATGTTTTATATGTGTA